TGTTAGGAAGTCTAGGACCCAGTTGCAAATGTAGGGGCTTAGTCCTAGTGTGAGTAGTTTGTCCATTACGGTCGGTTTGAGGAATCATGGTATTGAAGGCAGATGTAAAGTCCACAAAGAGCAAACGGACGTAGGAGTCCTTCTGCTCCAGGTGGATGAGAGAAGTCTGGACCACAGAGGAGATGGTGTCCTCTGTTGATCGATTTTTGCAGTATGCGTACTGGCCTCGCTGATGTTTATGGTAGCTTTGATGTGGGTCATGACCAGTCTTTCAAAGCATTTAGTGACTATCAATAAATGACTATCATGTACATAAAATACACGTTTTGTCTAATTTGAACTTATTTTCATTTAATTTTGTTGAATAAAAACTGTTCTCTTTGTTTCAGCTCCTAAAATCAAAATACATCATGTTCTGAAGACCAGTTTCAAATTTTATTCAGAATGCTCTTCACCATCTGACTGCACACTTAACTGAGTTTCCAAAAGTGAAATGGGAATAACTAATTGCTGCTCACATCACTGAGTTGCTCCTGTGTGCACAACAAAGTTAGGCAGCTACACACATCAGCAGTCAGTCGATTCAAATTTGCAGAGGGAAATATCTCTACAAGCCTGCAGTTGATTTTGATACGTAACTCAGTTGTGATTTATAGACTTCATTCCCCACAGGCGTCGTGTACAGCCAGTGCTAATGAAACACATTGCTTTGGATGGGAGCTAAAGAGTCCAGAGAGCTGTGCAATGTGGAAAAGAACATATGGATCACTAAGCTCCTGTCCAACATTCCTGAACAATCTGGACAGGACATTGAGCATTTTATCACCACCAAGGACCCAGCAGACTGCTGAGACATCCAGTTGCTTCTTCCCTGTGGGATTTACAGCCTATCAGTCCTGGAAAAACAAGAAAAATAGAACAGAAAGGCTTTGTTGTCATTGTACATGGTACAACAAAATTGCTGAATGAACTCTGTTTACACAGCCAACTATAAAGCATTAATGACCAGATATTGGCACAAAAAAACGGATGGAAACCTGAAACTAAACTTTGAACAAGTTCTTAATGTGCTTCAAGTGCAATTTATAAAAACACTTGTTTGCAAAAACTCTTCAAAACTCCTCCACATATGAGTTTGTGAATGCAAACATCACTTATTCCCAGCTTGTGTTCAACACAAACATATTTCCAGCAACCTTGATCCAGTTATTCTGGAGTTACTGTAAACAGGATATTGCTATCGTTCATGAAACAGAGAAAATCTGATCTAAGCCTTCCATTGTCTTTTACACATAATAATCTTTGCTTTAAGGAAACAGCCACTAAAGTTTTGAACATCTGCAGACCCTGTTTCTTTTATTTTAGCCCTCCTTGTTAAGCAAAAGCCAAATTTATTTTTGGCAGATCTGTGAGGATGTTTCAGTAGAAGACAGGACTTTTTTGTGGTAGGTTGAATTTCCATCGAAAACTGGAAATCCTGTCATTAAAAGCATGTAGATACCATTATAACCACTGTCTTTGAGAAGTAAAAAGAGCTGACAATCATGGCAGCTGAGCCAAAGGTCTCCTTTCTCCGGAGAGGACTGCAAAGAAAGCAGAAGGCCATGCTGGAAGTCACTGTGCCTTAAGGCGTTGTATCTCAGCCATCTTTCATCATGCTATCAGTTTCTTTATTACAAAAACTAAGTATAGAAAAATGTGCCATGCTGGCTAAGGTATATATACTGCTCTGAGATGGAAGATCTTACCTCTTTAATTAATTTCAGAACATCAAATGTATTCTTCATATCCCAGTTGGTACTTGTATGTAAGGTTATCTTAGGTCATCAAACTTCCAGGAAAACACTGCTATGAGCATCTACTGTTAGCTCATTTTTGTATATTATGGGGAGCATTTTCAAAAGAAGGTATTCTGTAATGCTAAAAGGCTTTGAATGACATTCATCCATCCATCCATTATCTTTACCCGCTTCTTTCTTTTCAGGTTGCCGGGGGGGGGGGGGGGGGGG